CAGAAATAGTTAACCAGTTATAAAGAAAGTTAAACCTGTCGCTCTAAACCAAATTGTGCAAAATTTAACATGTCAACCGCTTAGCTACCCACTTTGGATTAGATCAAACAGCTCTGAAAGCTAACCAATTCAGGGAAAACTTTACAAATCGATAGCCAATAAACTAATAAAGCGAAGAGCGATTTTTAGACGATGCAGTGTTCCGCTATGAACTGCACATATATCAGTTCATTTTCAGCTTGCATATCACAATGTTTAAGCAAATTAGAACAACACAAAAACAACATAGAAAGCACGAACAGGTTTTCCATTTTTCAACTTCACGCTTAGACTGCTTCAATGCTTTCTTCAAGTATTTTACCTTGGCTGCTATCTCATCTTCAGCGGGTGCTTCTTGGTGAACAGCCACGTTCTCCTTTTTTGCATTGACATAGTCAGCCCAAGCAAAAAACTCACATCGCCTATTTGGGAAATTTGCACATCCCCAGAAGTATCTACCTTTGTTGCTCCCATTTTTGCATAGCTTGAGGGGGGTTGGAAGCTTGCAGAAACAACATGGCTCTTCTACTGATTGAGAGGCATCCTCGGTCTTCATCTTAGTCTCTAAATGAGCTATAAAGGGAGGGAGGGAACAAGAGATATGGTTTTACTTGAGCCTTGCATAACATTATATAAAGCAAATCCATCAAGTAGCTAGCCGTTGGAATATGTCTGTTGGAACAGTATACCAACTAGCCGTTGGAATATGTCACGTAGATTTGAGAGCTGACAGCAATTTAACCTCAAACAGTGGGCCTTTTTGATAACAAATTCAGCTAAAAGTAGTAGTAGTATAGAGATAGTTATATGTTAACATGTTTAAGTACAAAATTCAAAACCTCCTGCTGTCTGGAAGCAGAGCACAAAAATCTCCCATTAGTATAATGGAAACTTAAAGACAACTTATATTTCACTAGCGCCATTCTTCCTCTTCGTAAGCATGGCACACTAATCATGGATGGGCTCGTTACAAGTTGCTCGGTTGTGCCCTTCGCTCTTGCATCGACCACATTTGACAGGACGTTTCAAGATGGTTCTGTTGTTTATGCGTCTTGTTCTATTTCTTCCCCTCCTCTTCGTGGTAATTGGTGGCAAAATCTGGATTTCATCCTTGGGAACACTACGCATCTCATAATCTGGTATGAGATATAATATTTCATCGTAGCTCTTCTTAAACGCCTCTACGGACATGAACCAGTCACAATACTGATATACCTCTCTTTTCATATAAATGATGACTGCACAAGCATGCACACAAGGAATACGAGTTACGTCCCAAGCACGGCAAGTGCATGTCCTCTTCCCCAAGTCAACGTGAGTGGTTCTCTGTGATTGCACTTCGAATATATCATCTCTAGATTGCTTAATCTCTAACGTAGATCCTCTTTCCATATGTTCTCCAACAATCTGCTCAGCTTTAGGACAAAGATAGCTTATCCACTTTTCAGCCATTATGCGTCTGTTGTTCATGCGAGTCATAATTTGCTTGTGGATATGCTCCACCATTTGCAGGATACGCAACATTCGAGCTTCACGTATCCAGCTGTTAAAGGATTCTGCAACGTTAGAGGTTACATGACCATATCTGCAAACATCAAAATAAAACAAAGTCTCATTCATCATCCAATATATAATAAGATTAACACGTAACCACCAAACTTTCCGTTTAGTAGGAAAAGTTAACATAATAACATGAAAGTTAACATATAGTGATAAACGATAACATATATCACCGATAGTTAACCTGCAAAAGGGGATATTCACTAGAAATGATTGAGGGCAGTACCTAATGCCAGGGAAGAAGGCATTCGCCCAATGCTCTGGCGAGTAGTTATTTACAATCTCATATGCAGCTGGAGACATCTCATATATATCCTTCATGTAGTCGTTCCATTCCGCAACAGTGTATTTATAGCAAGCTGATTGGAGCAAATTCCCCAAAACATGTGTGTCCTTTGCTTTCATTCCCAAATCCTTTAGCTTAGATCTAAAATTTTCAACCAGGTGCAGAACACATCTTGAGTGAATTGCTTCAGGAAAATATTCTCTCACCGCTTCTTGGATTCCCTTGTCGGCATCAGAAATAATAACCAGTTGATGGGGAGGATTGTATGGGTCTGGCCTTTCGTACAGTATAGACCACAAGCCTTGCAGGAACCAGCTCCAATTATCAACGTTTTCCTGATCACATATGCAATACGCAAGTGGAAATATCCCTTGGTCTCCATCATATGCTACAGCGCTCAGGAGCAGGCCTTTGTATCTATCTTTCAAGAAGATCCCATCCAAAAATAATAGAGGTCTACACCCTTTTAAGAAACCAACGATGCAAGTAGCATAACATATAAACAGTCTTTTGAACCTTCCTTCATTCTGGTCAATGCAAATGTAGCTTCCTGGATTTGTTTCCTTCACCTTTTGCTCATACCTGTACAACAGTGTGACCACATTACACGTAAATGTAATACATTGGAACATAAGGGTAATGTATATTGACGTGTAAGAGCTGACAATTTTCCATAAAACATAACAGTAGCTGAAATATAAATTTATGAAAATAAATATGGAAACATCTAAGGAAATATATTGCACGATAAATTTATACATTTAAACAGATAACTATAAAATTTACCATCTTAATTGATCGTAAGACTCATAACTATCACCATACATAGCCTCCTGCGCTCTTTCTTTGCCCCACCATATCTTACTGTATTCAAGTCTCAATCCATATCGAGTGAGGAACTCCTTTTGCACATCCTTTGGGCGGATTTTAGTTCGAACCTTTAATACAGGTCGCAATTGTTCTGCTACGAATCTACGAGATGCCCGTGATTGCCCTGACAAGCTAGTATGTTGTCCGCAACTATGTTCATTTACAAACCTTTTGATTTCAATTCTTTTTTCATTTTTTACAGGGGATGCAAACAGCATCCAAGGGCAACCATACGTCTCCTTATATCGACAAATAACTCGGATACGTTTAGGTTCATTCTTTACAAAGTCGTAGTCAAACTTTTTCGCCATGGAATAGTATTGCAACTCTAGTCTTAAATCTATGGCAGTTTCAAATTGTTGGCCCTTTCCAGTTAATGCTGTGTGCCAATAGTCTGGAATGCTGTAAGTTTTACTGATAATATCATCAGCTCTCACTACGTTCTCACCAGACGGGCAATCAGTTGGGATTCTCTCTGAATTGGAAGCATTTCCGCCAGAAGGGGGATGACAATATTCTTCATTCAAAGAGGCATCACTGCTGCAAAAATTAATCAGCCAGTGATATAAACTTTACACTAGAGTATAAAACTATCTTATAATGTTTAAAACAAACCATTTTCGTATGAATTAATTAAAGAGCAGTGGAATTTAACAGACAATTTACATAGATAACTCGTTACGCTGAAAGTTAACATGCTCACATGAAAGTTAACATGTTCAATTGAAGATTAACATATATCGTCAAAACATAACATGAAACCAGCTGAGTTAACGTATAAATTTCGAAGATGACATCTATGTTTTTCTACTGCGCAGCGAAACCTGAAATCACAATTTTTACATCACACAATCCCAATTTCCCCACAGCTCATTGTTTACATATAAATCAGTAATAACTTTGTACTTCCTTTAAGAAGTAGGACACTCTATGTTATCAAAAACTTGCATCTGAATCTCCGTACAACAAGTGAAAATCCTTTAGATCAAACATGCACTTCATGATAGGAAGAATATAACAATAACGTCACACGACACCGTGCACGTCGAGCAATTGGAAACCATTGGGGGTTGTTGACAGTTATGACGATAATTAATTTGTTAACTTGAAGGGATTCAAAGCTCATAACGGGATTCCAAAAGATGAAGTTAAAAAACATTTAAAATGTTATGCGGCTTTGCCTTAAAGCCTGGAATCAGAATGTTCACGTCACACAAAGCTAAATGTTATAAAGAGTCATTAACTTTCTGGTTTATTTCAGAACTGGAACACTCTTTATTAACAGCACTATTAACAACATCGAGCATGTGAATCTCTGTACAACCGACATTTCGATTGTACTCCAACATGCACTTCAAGTCATCTTCGTTGTCAACCGAAAAAGTCAAGTTGGGGTGCCTCTCGGATTTATATACCAAGGATAAAGCTTCTTCAGGTACTTTCATTCTTTCAGCCACATCAAATTTCAGTTCATAAAACCGTGTTGTCGAGCAGAGCTTCATAAATATGGCCTTCTCGCCTAAAGACACCATACAAATCAACTCATCGGGGGCCATTGGGAGTGGTTGAGAGTTATGAAGACAGTTATGAGGAGTAATGGAGGGAATTTAAAGCTCAGAACGGTTGTTGACAGATGAAGGGGAAAAACCCTGATTTCATAAATGGGAGAATGAGGCAAAAATTACCCGATTTTATATCCCATTAATAAGGAGCTGAAGCAGACCAATAATGGAGGGAATCCGCCTTTTTTTTCCCCCGCTTTCCGCCGTCTCTTCGCCTTAATTGCGATGGGAGAGATCGACGATCATTGATGGCTGCCTGTAGCCGGTTCCCAGTGAGAGACGATGGGCATTTCGGGTCTTTTTGCCTAAATACGCCGAGCATACGTATAAAAGAGGGCTAAAGGGACTGGAGCACGCGAAAAACGGATTTTTGGGGCGGCAGCCCAAGGGGAATTAATTCGTGGGCTGGGCCACTTCCAGGACGCGATTTTGGGGCCTGGACACAATTTTCCCTATTCTAAAAATGTAGTAATTAAAAATATTTCCCACAAATTAATTTAACAAGAAATTTACCAACATCCGAGGGCAGTTATTGAAGTTATCTTTTATATTCATCCAACTATTTCAAGACATAGCTTACAATCATAAATTAGAATAAGTATCTGCCACTTACAACCAATATCTAAAAATTAAATATATCAAGATCATTATTTTTAATAATATTGCTATCTAAAAAATTACTTCAAATTGTAGGATACTATGAAATTTTAAAATATCATTTATTTTTTATCATACTTAAGAATATTTTTATCGATTTTATGAAATTTTTATATTTAGGAAATTCAAAAATATAAAATTACCAAATTTGTCACTATTTACTTTGGGTGTGTTTGGCAACAAGTTAAAATTGGGCCAGGAGTGGACCTGACCCAATTTTAATTTGTTTCTTATTTGTTAAATTTTTAGACCAGAGCTGGCCTAATTTTTTTAGCCTAAATAGTGTCACTAAACCAGTTTTCTTTTGGAAAAATGGGGTTTGGTCCAAAAGAAAACTGGTTTAGTACAAAACTGCGCCAGGATAGGTCCTGACCCAGTTTTATTCACTTTGCCAAACACACCATTATATTCAAGAATTATCTATTTTAGAAATTTTGAAGCTAAATAATTTTGAATAAAAATAAATTTGTCACAAATATGTAAAGGTAAAATATCCAAAATTCAAATTAATTTTACAAATTTCAAAAATGAAAACTTTTGGATAAAATAATTTTTAGAAATATTAAAAGATAAAAAACTAAAAATTAATATTGGTTCCAATATTTGTTAATCACATAAATAATATTTTTGAAAAATTTTAGAATTAATTTATTTCAAATTTTGGGTTAAATTTAAGATAATTTAAAAAATAGGAACATGGCCTAAATTTGGTAATAAAATTAAAGTTATAGTTTTCTTCAACTAATTTCCTTAAAATATGAATCAATTATACATACACATAGTAAATTGAATTTGGTAAAATAAATTTGGTAATTAAAATTTTTCAAATTTTGGTATTAATTAATACTAAAATTAGTATTAAATTTAGTATCAAAAATTTGATAATTTGATTTTTTTTCAAATTTTTCTATTGATTGATTTAAAAATTAGTATTAAATTTAGTATAAAAATAAAATTTCACAAAAATCTAAAAATAAAAAATAAATAAAATTTAAATTAAGAAATTTGGAAAATATAAAACTTTGGATAAAATAAGTACTTTAAAATAAAAACCTAAAAATACAAATTAATTATACAAATTTTAAAGCCAAAAACTTTTGAATAAAAATAAATTTTCAGAAATATATGAAAATTAAAAAAATACAAATTAATTTTGATATTTATTTATCTCCTCGATACTTATTTTTGAAATTTTTTGGAAAAAAATTATTTTGAAATTGCTATTAAATTAAAAATAATTTGAAAAATTGCTGTGAAAACTAAAAATTTACTTTAAAATTTAAGTTAGATTTTTCCATTAACTTCCTTAAAATATGAATCTGATATACATTAATTTTGTAGCTTGAATTTGGTAACATAACTTTAGTAATTTAAATTTTTTTTATATTTTAGGGCTAATTAATCTAAAAATTAGTATTAAATTTTGTATAGAAATAAATTCTAACAAATGTCTAGAAATAAAAAAATACAAAATTCAAATTAACATAAAAAATTCCAACATTAGAAATTTTAGATGAAAATAAGTTCTTATAAATATTTTAAAATCAAAAGCCCAAAACTTTTATTAATTTTAGGATCCATTAATCCCTTAATTTCTATTTTCAAAAAAATTTCAGAATTCATTTATTTCAAAATTGGTATTAAATTTGACGTAATTTAGGAAATAGAAACACAAACTAAAGTAAATAATATAATTAAAGTTATATTTTTTACTTTAATACTGTTGAAATCTAAAAGACATTTTGTTGATATCTAAAAGATATTTTGTTGATATCTAAAAGACAAAATGTATGTGGACATTACTTTGTATGTGGACTATTAATTTCATGTCCTTTTGTATTCCATCATGTATCTATAAATTGTACAATGTATGGAAATGGAAGATGATGAATAATAGATTACAATTTCTCTTCTTCTCTTGTCTCTTGTCTCTTGTTTCATTTCTATAGTATATTACAACACGTTATCAGCACGAGTGGCTCTAGCCGGTTCGTGATCATTGTTTAGTTGATCAGCCAAAGAAAATTGCTGTTCATTATCTTCGTGGTTATTTTCTACTTGATCTATTTGTTATTCTGCCACTTCCTCAGGTAATAATTTCTTCTTGTGCCTTCCTCTAGCTAGCTGCAGAGGCTAGTCAACACAAACCATGTGCAGTTTGCCCCTGCTGCTCAGATTATGTTTCCTATTTTTGGATTATTGTTTTGTTCTAGCCTTGTTTTAATGATGTTTCTTTGGATTGGAGAAAATGATCACTAATATTCCTTCTGAAACTAATATGAAATTGCTAGCTCATGTCTTCTCCGAAGCTTAAGTTTTCTATATGTCTTTTTGTTTTATTATATTTCATATACCAGCAGGACTCATCTCATCTTCCATGAAAAGAAAGATAGATCGATTCATTTAAACAACTACTCTCAAGCCCATTATCATGATGTATCATTTAAACAACTACTCTCAAGCCCATTATCATGATGTAAGATCTTTGGAGACTTGGAGTAATCTGACAGTTCAAACTGTTTATATTTTGATATGTAAGATCTTTGGAGACTTGGAGTAATCTGACAGTTCAAACTGTTTATATTTTGATATCCATATGGCTTTTGTGAATGGTGGTGATAGTATGTTCGAAAAAGATGTATTTGATCTATTTAAACATCTTATCTTCTAATGTCAACCAGTAGTAGAACTTATTAGTTGTGATTTGTAAATAGAGGCATCTTTTGTTTGCAGTTGCAAATTCATCTGTGTTTCATTTATTCTCCCTTCACCATAAGGTATGTAAATAAATGGTTGGCAGATTATCTAATGGATGAATTATGCTAAATTGTGTTACTCATTTATATCCTAAAATCATGCATTCACCATAAGGTATGCTATACAAGTTAAACTGCTATATGGTAGTTACAAATAACTTGTTTGAGTAAATATAATGTAGAGAAGGAAATAGATATGGCATTTAAGTTGGAAATTCCATCCTTCTTGGTAATAGAAAATCAAAGGTCAATGTTTAATTGATTATACTATTTATGAGGTTGGAGATGAGGACGATGAGTCATATGACTTATAAACATTTGCATTGTGGCAGTACCTATTATTTCCATATGACAAGTATGGCTATTATTTTCACATGACAATTACGGATGCTGTTTTGTGTATATTCATGTATGCTTATTAATTTTTTGTTTAAAACATTGATTTTGACACTTTCAT